CTACTTTCTCATTTGAACTCAAAGGGCAGAAATGCCTACTGAGTACTCTACCAGAGAAAAGAAATAAGTTCTTCCTTCACAATACGTGATCCAATTTTTGGTTACAGAGTTCAGCTGAGCCATAAAGGCAACACTAAGAACACCATCAATATATAGATTACTGATTGTCATGTATGTGTTCGTGTATAAATGTGTACCCCTGAAAGAGGGAGATGGATTCTTCCATTTCATAGATGAAAATGTGAGCCCCTGTGAACTTCGAGGCTTTTTCTGGGTTCACTGAATGTCAGCCTTGAGAATTGGGAGACACTCAGCCTCCTGTAGAGCCCACCTAGGCATAAACCAAACCAATGGAGACTCCTCAACAGCAGGAAGAGAACTAAGATCCAGGAATGTGCACACTTGTAGAGGGTCCATGTCCTGTGGAATACAACTGAAGGATGGGCAGAGGGTAGAGTCTAGCTGCTTCCTTCAGCTGGGGGTGGCAGATGTGTGGGTCAGTCAGCTACCCACGAGGCGTATCATATTCCTAGGGCTGTCTTTCATTCCTCTGCTGAGAACTCCATTCTGTACAGACAAAAACCATATATTCACTGGTAAGCAGGATCCCTTTTAGAAATGCAAATGTAACTTCCCTAACATTAAAGTCAAACATTCTTTCTCCCAGTGAATCATCTTATTTGGATAATCTCCTAACTTCCCCTGAAGTTAACCCCAGAGTTGCATCCAACAATTTGGATCCAAGACAGAAAGTCTTTTGGGGTTTGGACCTGGCTCATCTTGGACTGTGTTCTGAAAAGGAAGCTTTCTACTTGCAGAAGAGCAAGGGTGAGCTCTGAATAGGAGATGAAATCATGAGGGGAAAAGACAGATGAGCAGATTCCCAAGCAAACTTGGAATATATTTGCCAGCCTCTTTTCAGTTGTGATAAAATACACATCAACACAAAATTTGCCATTGTAACCATTTAAGTGGACAATGCAGTAACATTTAGTACATGCACAATGTTATGCAGCCATCATCACTATCAAGTTCCAAAGCATTTTCACCACCCTAGAAGGAAACTCTGTACCTGTGAAGCAGTTACCTTCCACTCTCCCCTGCCACCAGCCCCTGGCACCATTAACCCAGTTTCTGTCTCTCTAGATTTGCTTCTTCTGAATTTGGAAGATATTTGCCAGCCTCTTTTCAGTTGTGATAAAATACACATAACACAAAATTTGCCATTGTAACCATTTAAGTGTACAATGCAGTAACATTTAGTACATGCACAACATTATGCAGCCATCATCACTATCAAGTTCCAGAGCATTTTCACCACCCTAGCAGGAAACTCTGTACCTGTTAAGCAGTTACCTTCCACTCCTCCCGCCACCAGCCCCCTGGCACCACTAACCCAGGTTCTGTCTCTCTAGATTTGCTTCTTCTGAATATTTTATTAAAATGGAATCACATAATATACGGCCTTTTGTGACTGGCTTCTTTCATTTGACATGTTTTCAAGGTTCATCCAAGTTGTAGTAATGTATCAGTACATTATTCCTTTTATGGTAATATAATATTCCATTGCAGAATAGATTACATGTTGTTTATCCATTCATCAGTTGATGGGCATTTTCTTTTAAATTAAATAGAGAAAAACAAAAGAGGGAGTTACAAATTACCACCCCCCAAAAATACTTTGCTTTTCTATTTACTTAGTGAAGTTACTTTTAGTTGTGTACTTCTTTGCTTCATATGGCTTCAAGTTGCTATCTAATGTCCTTTTATTTCAGTGTGAAGCATTCTTTTTAGCATTAATTGTAGAATAGGCTTTAATGAGATGTATGCCATCGCTTTTATTTACCTGTGCATGTCTGAATTTCTATTATTTCTGACAGAGAGTTTATAAATATGCAACTGTCAGTTGAGACAGGTTGTTTTTTTTCTTTCTGTTCTTAAGTTTGTCATGCCAATGTCTTCTGAACTCCAGTTTCTGAAGAAGATTTGGTGGTTAATTCATGGAGGACCCTTGTACTGATGAGTCCCTTCTCTTGTTGTTTTCAAGATACTCTGTTTGTCTTTGACTTCGACAAAGGTTTCATTATATCGTTCCCAGTGTGGACATCTTTGAATTGCTGCTACTTTTAAAATGTTTCAGTGTGTTGATACACAGATTCATGTTTTTAATAAAATTTCTGAAGCTTGGGGTCATTAGTTCTTTAAATACTCTCTTTCTTCCCTTCTTCTTCTTTCTCTCTTTGGGACTCCCAAAAATGCATATGCTTGATGTTGTCTCTCAGATCTCTTCTGTTCATTTTTCTTCATACTTTTTCCCTTCTGCTCCTCAAATGGGCAATTTCAATTGACTCATGTTTGAGTTTACTGATTCTTCATTCTGTAAACTAAAATCTGCTCTTGAAGCCCTCCAGTGAATTTTCCATTTTACTTCCTGTACCTTTCAGCTCCAGATTTCCATTTGCTTCCTTTTCACAATTATCTAATACTTCTGCTATTTAGTGAAACGTAGTTCTCCTGATTTTCTTTAGTTATTTGTCCATGGTTTCCTTTAGCTCTTTGACTATGTTTAAGACAGCTGATTCAAAGCTCCTTGTCTAGTAAGTCAGTCCACTCTTCTTCAGGAACAATTTCTTTGCATTGTTTTTCCTGTGAATGAGTCATACTTTCATACATGCATAACTCATAAGCTTCAGTTGAAAACTAGACATTTTCAATATTATGATGTGGTAACTGTGAAAATTACATTTTCTAAACTATTTTTGTATAGATTGTATTCTTTATTGTATGTGGTCACTGAAGTCTCATAGTTGTAGATGTGTGGCCTTATTTCTTGAGGTTCTATACTATTCCATTGGTCTATGCATCTGTTTTGTACTATACCCATGCTGTTTTGGTTACTGTAGCCTTGTAGTATAGTTTGAAGTCAAGTAGCATGATGCCTCCAGCTTTGTTCTTTTTTGCTTATGATTTTGACCATAAAGCTCTTTTGGTTCTGGTAAGTGAATTTTAAAATCATTTCTTCTCCCTGTGAAAAATACCAATGGTAGTTTAATGAGAATAACATTGAATCTATAAATTATTTTGGGCAATATGATCATTTTCTAATATATTGATTGTTTCTATCCATGAGCATGCAGTGTTTTTCCATTTGTTTGTGTCTCTCTCTGATTTACTGAGTAGTAATTAGTTCTCTTGGAAGATTCTTCAATTTCCTTTGTATCTGTATTCCCTAGGCATCTTATTCTGTTTGTAGCAATTGTGAATAGAAGTTTATTCATGATTTGGCTCTCTGCTTGCTCTGGTTGTTGTATAGAATGTTTGTGACCCTCGCCATTGATTTTGTATCCTGAGACTTTACTGAAGTTGCTTATCAGCTTAAGAAGCTTTTCAGCTGAAACAATGGGGTTTTCTAGATATAGAATCATGTCATTTGCAAACAAAGACAATTTGACTTCCTCTCTTCCTGTTTGAATATCCTTTCTTTCTCTTACCTGATTGCCCTGACCAGAACTTCCAATACTGTGTTGAGTAGGACTGGTGAGAGAGGGCATCCTTGTTCCTGTGCTGGTGTTAAAGGGAATGTTTTCAGCTTTTGCCCATTCTAGTATGATACTTATTGTGAGTCTGTCATAGATGACTTTTATTATCTTGAGGTATGTTCCTTCAATACTTAGTTTACTGAGAGTTTTAAAATATGGAATGCTTCATGAATTTGCATGTCACCCTCAGCAGGGCCATGCTGATCTCACTCTGTATCTTTCCAATTTTAATATATGTGCTGCCAAAGCGTGCACCACCTCACAAGTTCTTAGGAAGTGGAGATAAGTGAAGAAATGTGGGTGAGATGGAGTGTTGAATTTCATCTTGCACTTGCATCTAACAAAATGATTATCTCTGCCTTTATTCTTTAATTAAGTGATAAAAGCATTACAGATTTAAAGTTTAAATATTCTGTATCCTTGGGATGAGTAACCTGGGCAGGATATTTTAATTTATTTATAGCTCATTGGTGGACACAGTCTAGTAATGTTCTTCTCTCAGTATTTTTACCTCTAATTGCTTTGAAGTGATTATCCTATCATGCTTTTCTCTTATGTATTCCCTAGCTGACTTTAGAATCAATGTTATTTATACATAAACAATAATGAGTTTACTGGCTTTCTCTATGTTTCCTCATTCTCTTGAATATTATGTATAAATTCAGTAACCTTCAAAGTTTTGCAGAACTTATCTGTAAAACAGTCTGGGTATTACTGAAGGGAAATAAAGTTTTACAACCGTTTTAACTTCTTTACTTGTAATAAGTTCTCCCCATTGACATAATCTTGTTCATAGTCTCAAAATTATTTAAACCTCTACTATATTTTTAGTGGCATATTTATCTATCGTAATGTTATTTTATTCTTAATTGCCATTGCCTGTTTTATTTCTCCATCCAAATAAAAACAGCTGCTTTTGGTGGGCTGGGCCCTCAGCAGTGGCAGCTGCCAGGTCAGCCCTGGTGAGTGGCGACTCAATTGCTGTGCCCATGCAGTGTCCATCGCAGCCACCACGGGGCCACTTTGATGCAGGACTCCACGAGCAAGTCTGTGCGGCTGAGGCATTGTCTGTCAAGCTTCATCTCTACTCACTGATCAAGGTGGAGCCCCAGCACCTTAAAGACCTCTGGTAGGCATCCACACACAACCACTATCATGCACTGCTTCATAGCAAGAGGTCTATGGCTACCTCTCTCTCCTCTACCTCCCAATTTTCCAACTCGTATTTCCTCAAGTTCGCACTGGCCAGCCAAGGGCATGAGCCACTGCCCATGACTCACATGCATCTGCTGCACTACTGGCATCATTTCACACCCCCCACCTCCCATGGGCTTTGTTTGGGTTTGATTCTCAGTTCCTGGCTTGAGAGCCATTTCCAAAGCTGTAATGGTGTCAGCTCCCAAGCCTACTGCTGTTGTTGTAGATTTTCCTCTTTATATGTATTTACTTTCTGGAATTAAAAACAATTGCACTAATTTTTTCAATTCAGCATTTCATAAGGTTATGCAGTAGGAGTGATTCTTCTCTTAGTGTGTAGATAGAATTGTCAAAACACCAGCAATGTATATTTGAGGGAAGGACAGCATGCATGGAGAAAGGAGGGCAACCCACAAGTGGGCAGTGGGAAGCTTCACAAAGTGAACACTTGGGTAAACAACACCCACATCAAAGTACGCCAGTCACAGCCTGCTGGAAACACCTTTGGGTCCTCCTCAGTCATAACCAATTTCTCCCCACCCTAGAGTAGCCACTCTTGGATTTCTAACACAGATGAGTCTGCCAGTTCCAGCTGAATGGCATTATACAGCTACCATCATGCCCCCTGGGTCTCATCATCTCACTGTGTGTGGTCGTATTCATTCACTCCCATGGCTGTCCAATGCTGCACTTTATAAATAGCTCATATTGCTTGTCCCTTCACTTTGATAGACAATTGTGTGTTTCCAGATTTTACAAGTCATGCTGCTATGAATAATACTTTGCCATATTTTGGCACACACATACAAGCATTTCTACTGGTTGACAACTAAGAGCATATTGCTGGGTCATCGGGTAGTAGATGCTTGGCTAAGTCTCTGGTTAACAAATTTCTAGTAGTAAACAAACAGTAGAGGAGTGAATCTTTGCATTTAGAAATTACCCGGATCGGCAACAAGGAAGGAATGAGAGACCGAGACAATAATAACTCTGTTGCAAACCATCATGAGTTAACGGATTTAACCATTGAACAGCAATGGCAATTAACAACACAATAAAACAAAAACTAATGTCAGGGTTCTTCCTTTGATGGAAGAAACACAATACAGCACCATCAAACAAGTAAGCAAGTGACAAAGAAACCAAGCCTGAATATAAGCTACCCTCCATAGCCAATTACCAATTTAGAGGCAATACAGATAATAAAAACACAAACAATGGCTTTGGGAGCAATCAGCAAAATGCACACTATGGGAAGTTCTACCACACAATATAAATTTCAAGAAAGAATCTATAGAATAGTGAACAAAAGCGATTTCTAGAGGTAAAACTAAATTATAATTTTGGATGATAAAAATATAAAATAGAACAAAGAAGTGGTGATGTGAAAGTCAGGATGTATTTTCATTTGGGGGAGGAAAGAGTTTACTGCTGAGCTGGGGCAAATGATGGGGCTTCTGGTTTGCTCCACAAATGTCTATCCCTGGTGGCTTTAGGGGGTGTTCACTTTTATTCAAGGACACAAATTTTAGACCGCTTTTCCTTCTGAGTCCTACATTTTATTTTATGACACAAAGGTTAAGGAAAAAATAATTTATAGAGTATGGTTACTGTTTTACACAAAGCCCCCTCCCCATCTTCTCTGAGCACTCCAGAACAAACCAGCAGACCTGTGACCCCCAGCAGGCGTGACCTCACTTCTAGGTAAAGTGCCGCAGCTCACATCAGCAGAGGCAATATGCAGGCCTACTCTTGACCTGAAACCTGATAGACAGCTGGAGGGGGAAGCTCTTCCTCACCATCTGCAGGCTTGGCTATCAGTGTAGAGGGAGCAGCTCCTCACCTCTCCCACAGGCGCCCTTTATGCCAGAGCCTCCTCTGTGCATGGGAGTTCATGGCCCTTCTCCTGAACACGGTGACACGGATCTCCCCAAAGGTGGAGATGACACCATTCCTCCTCCCACCATCTTTTGCTATAGAGCAACTGGAGTACGTTCCACCCACACACAGGACAGAGAGCTGACAACCAAGGAGGGGAGCATCAATACTCCAGCTTTCTACTTGGTAATAACTTTCCATTGGCATAATCTTTTGTTCATAGTCTCAAAAATTATTTAAACTGCTAATATATCTTTAGTGGCATATTTATTTCATATCATAATGTTATTTTATTCTCAATTACCATTCCCTGCTTTAGCTTCCATCCAAAAAACAGCTGCTTTGGCTGGCTGGGCCTCATAGTGGCAGCTGCCAGGTCAGCCTTGGTTAGTGGCGACCAATTGCTGTGCCCATGCAGTGTCCATCATGCTTTTCACCAATGGCCACTTTGTGCAGGGACTCATGAGCAAGCCTTGTGCGCTTCTTTTGCTTTACAAGAAACCTGACTCAGCCTGGTGTCCAGTGAAGAAATCCCAGGTGCATGGAAAGGAGAGGAGGACCTCAGAGCTGTGAGTGATCTGTAAAAGGAAGCATGGACTCACCAGGTGGCGCTGCTGCGCTGCTCCTGCTCCCAGGAGGTGCATGCTCAGGACGAGCTTTGAGGTGGAGAGAGGGATGTCATTGCTCATCCTCCAGGTTCTCAGCAAAAACCTCCCAACCAATCTTGCGCCGCGCGTTTCTGGTGTAGCGAGCGGGCTCGGAGGTACTCACCGCTGCTGTCATGGTTCGTTTGCTAAATTGCATCGTCAGCTGTGTCCCAGAACATGCGCATTGGCAAGAACGGGCACCTGCCCTGGCCGGGCTACTCAGGAATGAATTTAGGTATTTCCAGAGAATGACAGCAGACTCTTCTCAGTAGAAGGTAAACAGAATCTGGTGTTACGTGTAGGAAGATCTGGTTCTCCATTCCTGAGAAGAATCGATTCAAAGGACAGAATTAATTTTAATTCTTAGCAGAGAACTCAAGGAACCTCCACAAGGAGCTCATTTTCTTGCCAGAAGTCTGGATGATATCTTAAAACTTCTTGGTGAACAACCAGAATTAGCAAATACAGGGTAGAGATGATTTGGATAGTTGGTGGCAGTTCTGTTTGCGAGGCAGCTGCCATGAATCACCTGTACATCTTAAACTATTTGTGATACAAGGATCATGCGGACTTTGAAAGTGACACGTTTTTTCCAGAAATTTATTTGAAAATATAAAACTTCTGCCAGAATACCCAGGTGTTCTCTCTGATGTCCAGGAGGAGAAAGACATTAAGTCTAAATTTGAAGTATATGAGAAGAATGATTAATATGAAGGTGTTTTCTGGTTTATTTTAAGTTGTTCTCCCTCCCTCTGGAAAAAAAAAAAATATGTATTTTTACATGAGAAGAAAAAGACTTTTGTTGACTTTGGATCTATGAATAATTATTTCTAAGCAATGTGTTTTTATTCTGCACTAGTTTTGGAATATATCAGGATACTACTATGAAATATTTTTGCTATAACTAAGTGCCTCTCCAAGACCCCAACTGAGTCCCTGCACCTGCTACAGTGACCTGCCATTCCACACCCATCGCATAGACTTCTGGCCAGTCCTGACATTGTCAGGCTTTTCAAATGTTCAGTATTTAAAGTTGGAAGATGCACGTACTGGATTGGAGCAGTTTCTACCAGTGGAAAATAAAATCTTCCTACGTATATCTAGAGGTTTGTAGACATATGTTGCAGCTTGTTTGTAGCAGTGAAAAACTGAAAACAACCTGGAATTCCAGTATGGGGAAATGAATATATTTCTTGTCTTAGGATTGTGGAAGCAAAGCAGATTCCAAGACTGAAATTTCAGTGAAAACAGTTTATTTGCTAGGTCTTACCAGAAAGCATCAATTGAGGTATGGAGAAATGGAACTGAGAAGGTAAGTAGTACAGTTTAAAGTCAGTGAGTGTGGTTCCCTATTGCAAGAAGCTCCATACTGCTGAGATGCAGGGAAACGGAGGGGAGAAAGCTGGAGCATTGATCTCCACCCTTGTCAGCTCCCCTGTCCTGTGTGTGGGTGGGAACGTGACCCAGCTGCTCTATAGCAAGTCCCAGGTGTTTGCAGTAAGAAGCTGCTGGCATGCATGTGAACTATGAATG